CTTAAATGATCCTGCAGTTTTTGAACATTGGTTCCCTTTCTAATAATTGAGGGGAAATATCTGTTGCACCATATCAGGATGCCGATCTTTTTTGCCATATTTGCCTCTGGCAAAGCCAATATTCCCTTCGTGTTTTTAAATTCTGCATTCTGTGTATTGTTCAGTTTGTCTGAAGTAACTATCTCCACACTGGCAATTATGCAAGGTCTCAGTTTTCCATTTATCCTTATTAGGTAGCAGTTGTTGTATCCTGATGTTGTAATCATCCTGAATCTTACCCTTGTGCCTTTCTTGTCTATAATTTTTCTCATCCTCTCAACCACACCTGCGATGTATGGCAGATTTACATGCTGTTCATTGTTCTGCTTTCATTGTCCAGATACTTTGCTCGCTCTAGTTACATCATTTCTGCTGTATCCATTACTTTGAAGGACACAGTATGGATGTTGAACTTCTTTTGGTTGAATATTGCTTTTTTTGCCTGGCCTGTTTATTAATGTGATGTTAAATTTATTACTATTAGTAATAATACTATGATAACTATTATTTATATGCCACATATTCTTCCAATGTTAGGCAGTTTACAACATCTAAAATTAAACACCCATAAAATCAATATATTAAACCAATAAATAGAAACAAAAGAATTAACAATTATAAGTAAATCCATAACTGGTATCAAACAAGTCCAAATGAACTCTTGAATATTTTTTTTTTCTTCATTTTCTGGAACATCATCAGGGTAGAGGTATACCTAAACATGGTGGGCAAGCTGTAATGAATCTTGGATGATGTACAGGTAGTCCCCAGTTTAAGAATGAGTTCCATTCCCAAGGTCTGTCCTTAAGTCTAATTTGCATATAAGCTGGAACAGTATTATTGTACAATACTGTATAAGTAGTATGGTGTAATGAACTCAAACCATTGTGTATTTAACTTGAATCATTGTTTATTTAACTCAGATTTTGCTACAATAGGCTCCATTCTTAACTATGGGTTGTCTGAAACCTGGGAGTTCTTAACCTGGCAAACTTCTTGTATATCAAAAGAACCCATCATTTGTCTTTTGAAATATATAATTATTTGATAAGGCGTTTCTTTCTTGAGCTTTACAATAGAATCCTTTGGTATTTTTCTCTATATTTCAGGATCAAGCAAGTTCTGAATTTTATCACTAATTTATCCTGTTCATCTGAGGATAATAGTAACTTCATATCCCTAATGGAGTTAATTTGTTTCCTGATGATATTTGATTTCAATAATATTGATCTTTTTAATATTCAGCAGAATCTCCAATCTGACCTCCTCTTTATTTGTAGTTAGAAGTTTTTGAATGGCTGGCTCTACTTCAGAAATGATTTCTTCCTATTCTTGGCTGATCTGAGCTGTCATTCTGCATGATTATAGACTATATTCCATATATCTGGATGTAGTATTAAATTAAGAGACAAGTGAATTTCTTTGTTCTATGTGTGCATTTGTGAGTATGTGTACATGCAACACATACAATGTACTCCTGAATGATGAATATATACAGTATGCTTAGTGGATATTTTAATTCAAATGAAAAATTCACATATGCCATTTCTTTATCTTAGGAAATTGATTATGAACAATTTTCATTCATCAACCTTAATATTGGTGTGCGAAATGTCGCTCCTTTCCACTCTTCTGTGGCTTCTGTTTATCAACCTGCTGGAACCCCAATTGTGGTACAAATAACTAATGTACTTGAAGGACCAGCATTTAGTCCAGTTTCACTGACCATTACTGCATCTGAGAGCTTAACAAGTGAAACTATACTTACTTACAAGGTTGGGACATTCCAAGCCATTGATCAGGATACTGGAAGAGTTGCCACAAATGTCCGGTAAGATAGCCTTTGGCCTGAAGCTTATGTATTCAGCCAGATCAAAGCAGTCTAACTGGAAGAGATAACTAGTTGCTTAGGATGCCAAAAGTCAACCCCTTAAGCAGAGTTTTCTCTACTTCTTCAATTTTGCCTTCCCTTAATGAATTAAGCTTTTATATGGTTTTAGTATAAATATATATACTTAGAACTTTTATTTCTGAAATCCAAAAAACTGGATATTCATCATAAATCAACCCCAAGTACTATGTTCACTCAAGTTTCTAAGCTAAATTGTGCCTGACTAGTGTGGGGCTCTATATGTATGGTAAAATGCAGCCAGTGAATCCAGAATTGGTATTCAGCCATTGCAAGGGTTGCAGACATCTTGAGGCCTTGTGGCAAAAAACATGCATTAGAATTTTCTGCATTTCCAAATATTACCTGCAATAGCACAGCGTTGAATGCTTCAGTGTGAGTATTCAGTGGGCTTATTAACTGGTACTTTGTCAGGGAGAAAAAGCAATACATCTTATACCTGTAATGTATGTGGGAAAGACCTTGGCAGATGGGGCAAAGAAATGCTGCCTAGGGAACAGTCAGATAAGCGACAGCACAGCCCACAGCTGGATAGTGGACAGGGTAAGAGGTTCAGAAGAGACCCTCCCTAGTTTCTCAGGCTATAAAGGAGACATGGGGAGAATTGTACTTTCAGACTTGCAATTTCCTGTTAATGTAGCTTTACAATAAAGTAGAATTAGCTTATCTGGTTGTGTTTCCTGTCTGGTCTACCTGATAAGGCTGACAATACCTGTGCTTGAAATGTTTTCAATGGCTGTTAGGACTGCAACTGTCAGAATTCTTCTTTTCATGTAAAAATCACTGCACCAATCAAATTGGGCAGTGCTCATTAGCAAAAAGTCTGGTGCCTGCCACTATTTTAGCATTCATAACTCATCCTAAGGCATTTCTATTGCTCAAAACACAGGTATGAGATAGGACGTGATCCTGCTGCCTGGTTTCAAATCAATCCTCAAACTGCTGTCATCACTTTTAAGAAACCTATTGATCGAGAATCAATTTATGTAGTCAACGGGGTATACACAGCAGAGGTGCTTGCTGTGACTATAGGTAAGAACATGGATTTTGTTTTAATATTCATTATTTCTCATAAGAAGTTGAAATCTACAGCTAATATGTGCTTAGAAATACTGAATTATTATTCCAGATATTTATAACTAGCTGTTTTGACTGAGTGGGAAAGTGCCCTAAGTCCCCTGAGTGGGAAAGTTTTAAATAGAAGAAAAAAGTAAATATTTCCCCTAAACATCTGGAACAAAGATTTTGCTGCTTGTGTTAAATCTCTTTGTCAGTGTTTCTCAAACTTGGCAACTTTAAGATGTGTGGACTTTCACTCCTAGAATTCCCCAGCCAGCCATGGAATTGTATTATCTAACAATTTGCTGCTTAGATGCACAGGGATGCAAACAAAATTGAGTAGGGAGAAGAACCACCACATCTGGGCACATTTCAACCTTGTCCTTGCTAGTGCTTTGCTGTATACTTAGAGATCTGACAGACTCTGGATACTGTTCTTATGCGCTTTTAGTGTTATCCCCAGGTTTTATAACTGAAGGAGAATCTTTTAAATTATCCTTCATTTTGGAAGAAGCATGTAAAATTACATGTGCCATTCAAGCCATTAAAAGCTGTCCCTTTCTTTCCCATCATTTCCTAATCTGCTCAAATTGACTGTGCCACATGTTCCTTGGGATCCTATTTATGTATTGAGTTTATTGTACCTGTGCAACATAAATTATTGGTTGATGACATTTAACTGATCTTATTTTCCCTAATGGGTATTTTTTATTGCAGACAGACCTTACACAACAGCCACTGGTACTATTGTGCTCACTATTCAAGATGTCAATGATAACTGTCCCGTTGTGACTGAAGAGATCAGGAGAGTATGTATGGACAATCCAACAGTGGTGATCACAGCGAAAGATCTGGATGACTTTCCATATGGACCACCCTTTAAATTTAGTATACTGGCTCAGTCTCAAGGCAGCTCATGGAATATCAGAATAGTAAATGGTGAGTGAAATTACATGTTCAAGGTTTTCCCATCTTAATAAATATGTTCTTTTTCCCCACCCACCCCTCCCTTCACTCCTGTTCACACATGTGAAATATCTGCATCCCATGGTTGCACACAAAAATCCACTGGTGGCAGCCTGGTCTTTTTAAAGAAGTATTGAGGTCAAATGTTCATTTTAGACAACTGCACTGCTCCCCCCTTTCTTTCTTCTTTCTGAATCTTTTGTCAGACTATATTTTCTCCATTCACTATAGGCAATAAGCCAATAAATAGGACCACACAAGGAAACCCAAAATAATGAAATAGCTTTCGGGATTATATTTAAACTGATACGTTTTATTGACTTGAAATATTGATCTATCTGAATTTCAAAGGTTAATCCATCAGTCATATACAAATCCCAGCACTGCCTGGTAGTGGCAACAATTACTTCTAGTCTCACTCGTTTTTAGAGAAGGAGGAAACACAGTCAGCAATATGAAAATGAGGAGCAGGAGCAGAAAAATATTTTGTGTCAGATAGTGTCAGCCCTTCAAGATAAACCAGACTAGGAAACCAAAGTCATGCAAGCCAATACTACATTCATTACAAGATTATGGGAACAGAATCTTGCACATCTGAATGCACTTCCCCCTGCCCTCCTGTTATCTTTGTGAGAACTAGGGAGGGTCTTGTCTAAGATGCTTGCTCAGATTACAGTTCTGGCCTGGACTCAGATTTCTTTTATTTGACCATTGTCTTCATAGCACTTCCTGTTCCTCAGAGTTATTCCTTCTTCCCATTAGAAACAGAAAAGTGAGCCATTGGCAAAGGTTCTATGCAATGGTTCAACATATTTAATGTAAGTGCCCCTTTCTAACTCTGAATAATTAAATTATTTGTAAAGCAAGTGCTAGGAAGACTCTGCCTGCCCCCCCCCCCAACACACACACCATGTTTTTGATCAACATAATGAGTGCAGTGCTAAGTATTTTCTCTTCTTCCCCATCCAAAACCACTTCTTTCAATTGCAAAATATTTTTGATACAGCAACAGAGCTACTATAGACTGCAGGATATATGTTTGTGTGTGTGCATGTTCGTGTTTGAATTTTATTTTTTGAAGAATGCCCAGCATGTGCTGGTAATTTAGGGTTAATTCAAGCTTTATCCCAAAGCCTAGGAATTGTCCAAAGAGTGCTAGATAATGTATATGTGATAAATTTAAATTTTTGAGGTTCTATTTTTTTCAGCTTTTTGACAATTCTATTGTTCTAGCTCCTAAAATTCCAATAATTATGAGGAAACCTTTTGTTACATTATCATCTCTGTATTTCAACTGTTGTTGTTGTTGTTATAAAATGGAACAGACTTCAGTAGTGAAATTCAACATTATACATTTTCCTCTTCCTCCCATCAGCCCGCTGAGAGGTCCTTCAGATCAAGCTTAGAGAAGTGTGAGCGCAGGGCTGTGATAGAATGTCAGGTTAAATTCAGAAAAGATATCTTAGTCCTAGAAAAGTAGAAAGCACGAGAAAGAAACTCCAAACAAGTTTGCCTTGATTGTATTATGTATAAATTGGAGTAAAGATGGGCTTTGACGGCTTTTAAGATTCTGTTACAATACCCTAACCACATTACGGTACATTCCAAGACTTCTAGCAACTTCTAGCTTCCTGACCTTACCTACCTGCAGGGTTGACAAGGGAGAGGAGGAAGGAGAAAATGTATAATGTTGAAAACCATCATTGTGATCAGTTTACATAGGAACCGAGATAGATAGATAGATAGATAGATAGATAGATAGATAGATAGATAGATAGATAGATAGATAGATAGATAGA